GCACCATCTGTAACGACCTCTAATCATGTTGTGGTTGTGAAATTAGCCTCAAGTGGTTAGTCAAGGAATTGCATGGCTGTGTTTCATTATACTCTGTATTTTTACTTTTTTAAAATACTTTTTATGTTTTAGCTGCGGAGCATCTGTTGCATAGTCTATTGGAATCAAGCCTTTCAAATGCATGTATTTTGAAGGATAAATTTGAATATAGTAATAATAATTTTGATAAAAGAGGAATATATTAAATAGTTTTTATAAAGGAGGAAGATTGAGAGAATTCCTTCTTGTGGATGTGCATATTAGCTTTTGAACAAGAGATTCCTTTAAAGCTCAGTCACTGTTCTTTTGGTGTTCCAGTAGGTGTACTGGCCAGCAGGTTCCACACAGAGTCACCAGTCTTCTCTTAACACAGCACGAAGCACAAAGTCTGACCGCGATAAGGGTAAGACAACAGCGCGAGGCAAATAAATAGTTCTTTTGATTTAACCTGTGCCAAGCTTTTCTAACGCGCCATCAGTCCCAGCTGCCTTGTGTTGCCATGGCAACTGATGGTCAGGCTGAGCTCAGCACAGTACAGTTTTGGTCTTGAGAAAACCATAAACAGGAGAACAAACAAAGACTGCTCTCCAAAGCTGTGATGAGAAGAAAAAATAAAAACACACACACACACAGGGTTATGTTGATACCAGCCTGTGTACTGTCACAAGCATGCAAATTATCTCACTTGAGTGAAGCCTCTGCTACATCCATCATTCACAACTCGTGCTATTTCATTGTGTCAGTGCACACAGCGTGCAATTAAACTGTATACCTCGCAGAATGCACGGAGGGTGTCGGGAGATTATTGCTGTAAAATCGGCAAATAAATCACCTCCAAGATAATTACATCACATCTTTGCTATTGGGCCTGTGGCATTTCCCTTTTCTTTTTTTCTTTAATGTGTGTATAATGAAAGGCTTACATTAAATTCAGCGTGCATCTACCCGGTTGATAATCGGCTAAATGGGTAATTATGATTTAACTGGATGATTGCGAGTTCTGAGGGCTCGGGGGCGACCTGCACACTTGACGATTGTTCTTGTAAAAGGACATCCTGTGCTCTGCGGCTCAGCCTTCATTGAGCTGTCAGGAGCTGTGGGGGACGCAGCTCTGTCAACATGCCTTCCCACCTCTGCCATCCATAGGATCGATCACGCCGCCGCCACCTCCTAGAGAAACCCAACCACCGCAGCTCCTCCAATTACTGCTGATGGGCCACATCTTTCTATCAGACTGGGTGTCAGAGCCATACGGCGCCTTTCAGAGACAGGGACAGAAAGAGGAGGGAAAGGATAGAATAGCGAGCTTGAAGTGGAAAGAAGAGGAAGGGAGAGGAAGAAGGGACGTGGTGACAGGCGTGCACAGCTGGTGAAACCGTCCATGTTAGACTTTGCCAAGACGGATGTTAAACTTAGACCCGCGTGTGCATTATTAATATTGACTACGTACACGAGAATAAAGAAGCATTTACTCACTAACTGACACGTCTGAATTAATCATAGAGGCACGATCAATTCTCTTTCATGATAAACCTGGCAGCTTCCTCTTAAATGACAGACGTCGTCAAGAATTTTTTTTTTAAGAGCCAACAGCTCAGTCATTATCTCAGGTATGACCTGACATGCCATCAAAAATTCATTAGAGGACCTAATGTTGTTTTTATTTAGCTTTTTTGTTTTTTCATCATTATTGATGTCTTTAGAATCCAGTATTTCTATCAAAAAATGTGTACTAGTGATGAACAAGGGTGATTGTTGGATTAGTTGGTAGAGTTTCTGCAGTGGAGTCCAGCAAAGGCCCCACCCTCTGTTGACGCAGAGATATAAAACAGTTTCCATAGTGAATCTTGCTGAAAATAAGCATCCACTTCTGTTTTCCCATAGCGTACTGGTTGCCTTTTTAGCCTTGGGCAAGTAAATCTATGTGGATACAATATATTGTTGGGGGTCTATATACTTTAAGTGTGCATGTATGTGTGTGTGCTACATGATATGGTACTCACATGGCTCCCGGTGAGTCTTTCAGGTTTAGACTGAACTGGGAAGAATAGAACCTGCAGGGCTGTTAAAGCTTCTCTTTCGGACTCCGGGCTTAGAAAATGGTGCAGCAGTGAGTGTACATACAGAAACACGAATCTCAAACACAATCAAGGGAGGAATATCTGCAGGTGCACTTTTGTTTTTACGTTAATTGCTTCTTTGTCTGCAAGTCAGGCTTTGTTCATGTAAGACAACTTCTGGGTTATGAATTATCGCTCCTTAATGATCGTGCGTGCAAAAAATAGCATGTGTGAAAGCAAGTGCACCCCCACCTGTGTTCTGATGGGCTACATTAGTATGTTTGAAGTCAATCAATACCAACGCTAGCCTGTCTCTGATTCCTCTCCTTGCTCCCAGAATCCAATCTTACATTTTCAGGTTTTTGGCTCTTCATCCGTCACTGTCAGATGCACAGATTGACGTGGTCACAGTGGTCATTTCGTATTAGAGCCACCGCGGCCCTCTGCGCAGTGGTGAGATTGTCTGAAAAGTGTGTCTCCCTCAATGTGTGTGTGTGTGTGTGTGTGAGACAGAGAGAGAGAGGGTGTGTTTTTAAGTGTTTGCTGTCTGGTCATGGAGCAGAACATGATAGAACAGTGGTTGAATGGTGTTAGAGCCAGCTGCTGGAGTATGGAGTTGGTGCTTGAATGAGTTTTCAAGTACTTTGGACATTTTAATACCACATCAAATGCATCACTCTGTTGTTTTAAGACTTAGTTGTAGTTAGATGCTTTACTTAAGAATGGCAGTAGCCCTTTATCACTGTTTCCCTTTTTATTTTTTAACTGTTCGAAGAGTCGATGCAGGACTGCTTCTAGCTGTGATGAGCACAAAGACATTATGCTGCCATGTAGATGCTGAGTTGTGTTTCAAGAAGCCATTGTCTTGGTCAGTGGAGGCGTGGTAAACAGTGCTGCCAGCCAATCACAGATGTAGCTCAACAATTCCGCATGTGGAAATGTAGAGATGTTGGTGGGTAAATAATAAAATGCAACAATCTCCGGCAAACATCTAAAGCACTCTAACGTCAGCATCAATGCCATTATTTGTGATGTACCACAGCTCCTATCAGCGGTGTACTGTTGTAACCATAGCTACCTATTTTGGTTTAGTGCTGGGTTTTATCTTGAACCCCTGATGACCTACAGCACAGCTTGAGATTCTTCCTTTGGTCACCCAACTGCATAACCTGAACATTATTGCTGTTTGTGCCTACTGGGTAACAAGGTCCCTTTGAATACTTAAAAATATTTTTCCTTTAGTTTTCCAGTTTCACTGGCCCTGACAGCTGTCTGTTCACATCACATTATTATTTTTTTGGTGTGTGTGTTTTTTAATTTCCCATGCTATTTTAATCATATATCTCTAAAACATTTTTTTAGAAGTCCGATATTGCTGTGGCTCTGGGAATAACCGTGACACTTCACAGCCAACTCAATGAAAATAAAGTAGCATTGGTAGCACAATAATATATTGTTCCCTGTTGTGCAAGAGGTGCAGGTTTGCAGTCTTTCATCTCTGTCATGTCAAAGCACAATACAACATTGTGTGATGGAGACAGAGGGCGCGTGTTTGTGAGTGATGTTGTAGGTACCAGGAGAATACATATGAATTTACCATAGGGTTCTTTTTGCTTTGCCGATAGATGGATAGTTAGAATGTGGAAAAAATAAAAATAGTATATTCTACAATAAATAAACAACAAAGTCAGCGTAAAAGGTCCTCATACTGTGAGATAAAAAATATACACGTACAACAGTGATATAAAAAAAACAGAATGAATTTGCATTAATAAATAATATAAACACTATAAATCTAAGAAAACGTGACAAGGAGGTATTATACAGAAATACTGAAGTAGTGTAATGTGCAGGTCATCCTCAATGTGGGGGATATTCATCTCTGACGTCTTTCAGCCTGTCTTTGTACTAGCTGATTCTTCCACCTCAATTACAGTAGCTTCATATTCATTTCCAATGGCTTCATTTTTAGTTGTTCCCATTTTATGCTGCCGAGCGTGCTTCACATTCTTGTGCTCGGGATGAGTCCAACAGAAGGGGCATTTCCCGTGTTTTTGAGATAATTGCTTGCTCCCCTTATAAACAGCCCCTGTTGAATTTAAATTAAGCCAGTAACAAGCCTGCAGCATAGCATGCCCTCTGGATTGCACCCTGTCAATAGGCTGTTAACGTGTCCGACCCTTGTCTTATTTTGCCTCGTGTGGCATCAGCTGTTCCCCTTGTACATCCGCAGCGGCTGCCCACAGGCGAGTACAACCAACACAGTGGCAGATGAGGACGCCAGAGGAAGTCTCATCAATAATGGAGAGCGGTAGAGGAGGAGGAGGGGAGGAGGCATGTAGAGGAATTGTGGTAGAGTGAGTGAGAAGTGCAGCTGGTGTGTTTCTTTCATTTCTTCCAAATGGACATTTTGAAATGATGCTCCCCAGAGGCCACGCATAAGAGGAAGGCAGCTATTAATAGCTGATGGGTTGAACAAGTTGTTAAAGTGCTTTTTTGTGATTCATTTTTTTCCCCAGGGAGCAAAACAAATAAAATAATAATTTTTCTTGGAGGCCATGCAGGTGCCTGACTTACAGCTTGACCAAAACACAGACTAGCAGATTGCACTCCATGAGACACACCCCATGAGTCAAAAAACTATTTCTTGTCTGTCAAGCAGCATGCAGCTTAAGCTGGGAACAGACACACACACACACAATGATTATCTTTCCTGACAGCTGTCCAGATGCAAACAGAAAATCTGTCACACGGCCACCGAGAATGACCGCGTGGCTCTCGTAGTGTGGCAGCTCCTCCGCCCAGCAACCATCCTGCTCGTTCCTTCCCTCAATGCCCCTCATTGTATTAGCAAGAGGAGGACCATTCTTACTCACATCTCTCGTGCTCTTGTTTCCCCAGGGGCCAGCCCAGAGGAAGTGAAACTGTTGCAGTTCGGATGTCACCCCCATGTCACGGCTTCCACTCAGCTTGACCAGCTACACCCACACACAAACATATCTCTGCTCCCCGAAGGACGCCAATTAACGGCAGGCCTGAGACAAAGAGCAAGGAAGAAGGGAATACGCTCTAGGAGGCGCCTGTACCTGCAGTGGAAGGGGACAGCACTGCTTGTGAGTATCGCATTGTTCTCGTGGTGCTCGGGTGAACACATTTTCGCACAACTGATCATGTGATGCTACCTATTTCATATCTTTTTCATAGCAAAACAAAAAGAAATTGAGTTCATAAACATAATGAACAATATGAGATATGTAAGATATTGACTTTCTTGTTAGGTGCAATGCAAATGTAGCTAGAAGTGTTTTTCCAATATCACAATAGATTTTATCTGTGTGTATCTCTTAGAAACAGCTGGGCTGAACCTGGCAATCTTGCTTTGTTCTCTTTTTTCCTGTTACTTACACAGCAGCTTTATTTAATAAAGTTCTAAGTTTTAATAAAGTTCTTTTATTAATAAAGTTCTATCTTATCTTATCTTATTTATCTATTTTTCTACAGGAGAGCTAAATTTAACACTCAAAGGATGTGGTTAAATCTTTCTTACTCTCAGCCTCACTCTATCACGGCTGTCTTTCTTCTTTATGTCTTGTTTCCTGTCCAATAGAAGTTACATTTCCCAGAAAATCCAGCAGAGGAATTAGGTAGACGACAGGGGCAAAATGATCTGGCAGATCCACTTACCTCCTCTGTCTATGATCCCCCTGGCCTCTGATATTATTAGAGGTTGATATATATGTAGAGAACAGCAGCGGGAGAAGGCTGGGTAGGGGAGTAAGATGGGGAAGGCAAGGTGCAAGAGCTCAAAGACCCAGGGCTGCTGATGACAAAGCCGAGGCAATAATCTGAAGGTGTAAAAGCTGGAAATGATTAGACAGTGAGGGGAGAACAACAACTGGAAAAGATTTCAATGTTAAATCACTCGCAGACTCAGATTTCTCCTCCTTACAGCTCTCAAAGAAAATATAGATATAAATATAGATATGATGGCTCTAAGCTTTTTACTGTTATAAAACATGAGCAAAATAAAACATGTTAGCACTAGGATATCACCGGATGTGCATGTAATGCAAACGCAGGTCAACCAAGTCCATTTCACACTTTGCCTCTCTAAAGCGTGAAATGGACACAAAGTTGTAGTACCAGCAGGGGGAGACAATATGTTTGAAGCCAAGAAGTCGGTAGTGAACAAGGAAGGCATGAAGTACATTCCAGTCCCTCTATGGCACAGGTGTCGAACTCCAGGCCTCGAGGGCCGGTGTCCTGCAGGTTTTAGATGTGTCCTTGATCCAACCAGCTGATTTAAATGGCTAAATGACCTCCTCAACATGTCTTGAAGTTCTCCAGAGGCCTGCTAATGAACTAATCATTTGATTCAGGTGTGTTGGCCCAGGGTGAGATCTAAAACCTGCAGGACACCGGGCCTTGAGGCCTGGAGTTCAACACCCCTGCTCTATGGCTATGGCTAGGTGGCTAATATTTACATGTAAATGTGTTCAAAATGTCTCTTTAAACACTTTTTGTGATTATTTTCATGTTAGCTTGAAATAAAATATCGCAAGTTACTACATCGCCGTACTACTGCATATATGCAACCCACTGCTACCGCTTTGCAGTATACAGTATAGGTCTTAGATAACTTATGGACCATTAACTAAGATCAAAACACCAACTAATTAAACTTGCCTGATATTTAGATAAAGGGTTTAATTTATAAAGAGAAATCCAGTAGAAACAAAAATTCGTTGAAAAAAGTGGTTTAATAGAAATTCATGCTTTTGTGAAAAGGTAGACTATAAATACAGCTCTTAGATGTCCTTTTACTACAAGCAGCTATTTTCTTAGTGTGCTACTAGGTTTTTGTTTGGACAGTCAAGGTTAACAGGCCTACCATTACTTTTGATTTGGCAAAGACACAAGTTTGACATATGTTTTGCTAATTTTTTGCAAGAAGCACATCGAGAGCACAAACCATCAAGGCTGTTCACGCTCTAGGTGTTATTTACTTTCACTGATGTACTGTAGTATTTGTTTTTTCTGTACGGTCATTTGGCTTCCTTTATCCTTTTTTTAATGTACTTTAAGGTGTACCTTGGATGATGTAAGCCAAATTTTAATGGATTGTTAACATGACCCTACTCTACACCCCTACAAAGTTTTATCAGTATTCATTCAAAGCTATGGTGATTACAGTCACACAAAACATAACCTCCTTCGGGAAGGTGACAACAACAGATTAGTGCTGGATGGTCTGCCACAAACTTCTGCAAAGACATTCTTAGTTTAGATCACTGCTGACTTTTGTGAACTCTTCACTTTTCATAATCGGAAATTCCTCAACAATTATTGACTGGATTCTCATGACGTTCCCCTCAGAAACCTTTATAAATAAATTTGTGAAACTTATTTGAGTCATAAGCTGCACGATACCTTGACTTGACCCTGCAGCTCACCATGATTAGGCATCTCCTGTTTGCATTTGTGGATGCTCCAAGGCCTGTCTGGGAACTTTTTTCTGAATTGGAAAGAGAGGACAAGATCTTGCTGCTCCTTTTTTGTGACTAAAGGGGAAAAAGTTGTGCTCACCTTATCTGGAAGAGATTAGGCTAGTGAAAAAAATCATAAACGTGGCCTAATACGCTCCGTAAATGTGTGTAGTCCACTCTGTTTTCATCTGCACCAATTTGCAGTGAATCGCCCTGCATATCACAACTGGGTCTACTAAGTGGTAATACCACGAGTGAAAACCTCTCAGGATTTCTCCAACACGATTTAACACATAAAAAGACTGCATTATATTATAAAATCATTGCATTTATTCAGCAACAGGGTTGTGTAACCACACTGATTTCAGCATTTAGCCACAGAATCCACACAGGATCTCCTCTGCACACTGTCCACAACCATTAATTAGCGGATATCTGTGCGAGTACATGGAGATCATGGATGCAGATAAATGCCAAATGTGCCTGCTCTTGAGTATAAAGCCAAATGATATTCTTCTGTCTTAAATGTAAATGTTTTGGCTGAAAAGAAAATGACTGACTTCAGGGTAACAGACCAAAAAGCCAAACAACAAACAAGGAGCTGTGTCAAATGCACATACAGGTCCATGCATCAGCTGTAATGATGTAACTGCAGAGGTCTGTAAGTGCACTTACATATCCGCACGGTCTGTGCCGAGACTGACCATCAAAAAGCATTTAACAGACTCTAAGAGCAAGGCCTTACAATATTCAACACAACAACCTTGCACTATGCACTACATGTTTAAATGACAGTAGTTAACTTTCTTGGACTTTTTAAAGAATATTGCCACTGTCGGTGTCCTTAAAGGCAAACTGCCTCCTCTAACATGTAAAAAAAAAAGTGGCACAACACTATAACACTTCATGATCATAGCTTTATTTACAGTCTCTCCACCAAGCTTAGAGCAAATAGCTTATGTTGGGTAATAATTTAGATAGCACTCCAAACCCCTTTAATTAGCGCCGACTAATCAACATAGCAGCTTCTCATCATAGATTTATGGACAGCCATGATTGCTGCCAGGGTGAAATTAACTCTTTCCATCTGCAGGGAACTGCTGAAAGATGCTTGGCTCAAACACACTCCTCCTTCTCACACACTGACATGAGCTTAAGCAGGCAAACACGCACACATAAACACACACATGCATATATGCAGATGAGACTTGTCTCTTCCTTCTGGCTGTCTCTGTAGAGCTGCCACACATGCTGCGTTGCGTCTCGGAGCACCAGGAGGCCGGGGTTGACTTGAATTAAACTGAGAGGATGTCCTTTCCAGATCTGCAGACGGCCACACAGAAACACCCCAGTGCAACCCCCCACCCCCAGCTCCTCATCCACCCACAAGAAAAAGACAGTCAGAAAAAGACAAAAGAAGAAAGAGCATAAGGGAGATAAATGAAAGAAAGGAGGGGAAAGAAGTGAGGCTAGAGACGGGGTGGAGAAGAGGAGAGAGTTAATAAATAAGAGGCAGGGAGAAATTGCCTGTGAGAGATAGGGTTGGGAGATGAGGTGGAGTTGGAGGAGGACAGGAGAGTAAGAAGAAGGGAAGGAAGATGAAATTATGTGCATGTGTGTGTTCATGATAGAGTTTGGCAGAGAAAGAAGAGAGTTGAGACAGTAAGCCTGGAGAAGCTCATGCCACCGGGGGCATATTGAATATACAGAAGATCCTTCTCCTTTGCCTGGTTAGTAATAAAAAAAATACACACACCAGTGGTTTATAACAATAGCTACAACATAAAGCACGCTTTTCAGGCAATATGTCACCAAAGCAACAGCCAATCATTATATTTTCAGACATGGCAGTCTACTAGTATTTAAAGAAAGAAACATTACTCAGGCAACTAAGAAGTTCCCATCTTTTTTCAAACGTGGGATTTTGATACTGTCCCTGTCACAACACTGCTGTGGTTTTCAGCTCAAGACAAGACATTTTATGACCGCACCATTAACTATTGTAACAGATTCACTGGGCAGATGATCCGAATGCTGGACATGGGCGGCAGAGATAAAATCCAAAATCGAAATCTGTAATCGACTATCTTGAGGTCACACAGGCACTCAGGCAGAGTCTGACTCTGAACAATGATCCATAAACAAATGCAAATCAGAAACAAAAGAAAACATGGAAAATATAGCTCTGAAAGCGACAGGAAAGCTTGGCTGTGAAGAATGACAAGACAATCTGGAGAGAGTGATTCATAACTACTGGCAGGTGGTGTTTAAAAAAAGCAGGGAAAAAAACCAAGATTAGAAGTAAAACTACTGAAACTCAAGTGAGTGATTTCAAATTAAATCAGGAAGTAACTAAACAGAAACCCCAAATAATGACAACAGTAAATAACTGCGATGCACATTTTGCTTTTATACGATGAATAAATGACTCAATCAGCGACTCAGTCAACTCTGAAAGTAAACATTAATTCATAAAGATGAACTCCAATAGTCTGTGAAACACAAGCAGGGGTGAAATAGCATTACACAAAACTGAATTAAGTCTGTAAAAAGATTATTTGACATTTTTCTTTTTTGTCTGTGTTTCATTTCTAATCAAGGTTGATGTTAGAAGCAGGGAAAATGGG